CCACCACCACCACCACTCCTGCTGCTACCACTACTTCGACTGCTGTGGCAAGTAGATTGACTACTGTTGCGACTTCTGCGCCTCCACCTCCTCCGGAACGCCAACGCCTAGAAACCCTTGAAGCTCTATATCCTGAAGCCTATTCACCCCCCAAAAAACCTCACATCCCACTTCCTGAAGCCCCCGCCCCGCCCCACCTCCTCCGACGGGCTCTGAACCAGGAGCCTGGCCGCCAGCGTCACGTTGAGCCTCATCGGATCTGACGACGGCATTCTGACAAACCGCGTCCCGAAACTCTGAAACACCGTCTCCCTATCTCTCCCTCTGTCGCGCTCTCTCTCTCTCTCTNNCCCTCGGCCTCATGGGCCCCCCATATATGTTAAAATGGGGCTTTGAAGGGACTGTGATAAGGTTTTCGTGGTCGGATTGGGACAAGTGCAGAAAGGAGCATATCATTGCAGTAATCAGGATACCATAACGTCTCGACAACTACCTAACAAATCAGTGCTTGGCTTGTCCCCCCGACCTCACTGTCCGCAGTACATGGACACCTAGTTTTGTATGACATGTCCCCCTGACCAGCTTGAGTAGAAACAACGACATAAAGGTCCAAGCACTCTCTCTCTCTCTCCGTCTCTCTCTCTCTCGCTCTCTCTCTCCGTCTCTCTCTCTCACTCTCGCAGCAATTCTGTCCAGACTGAAGCTTAAGGCTTGCTTGACTGGTAGGTGCTTAAGACCTTACCTTGGAGTCGCAGGGCCTTGGTAGGGCTTCCGGTAGGTTCGGGACTTATCAGATCTTGGGATTGCCAGGCCCTACGCCCGGAAACCCTCAGTCTTGTGGGGGCAGGGTCGACGGTTTAGGCATCCGGCTCTGATTAATAACGACAGCTGGTTCTACACCCTCCCGTTTGTTCGATCTCATAGACTGATCTTGAAGTTGCTTGCGCATTCAGGTCATTTGCAGGGATCGTTTTGCAACAAGTCGCATTTTAGTAGTTGGCCTGCAACCCAAACTGAAATCGTGAGGACCAGAAATCCCAACACAAAAATGTCAGCATGAAGCTCCAAGCCCCAGCATGCTGCCAGTCACGAAAGCCGTACATGCCCGGAGAGGGAACCGATGTGTTTGAGGTCTGAACTTGCAGAGCCAGATACCATGCCTCGCCGAGGTCGACGTGCAAGGCAGTAGGGTCTTATGAGTTGTCGCTGGGGATGCTTGGGCCCTGCAGAATGTGAAGCTTTGGGATGTAGGGTGTAGGGACGGGTTTTGTAGTGACTTAAGCCC